CACACACACACACACACACACACACACACACACACACACACACACACACACACACACACACACCCAAACATACATACACACACTCAAATACACATACAAACAAATAGTCACCGACAACGCGCTGATAACCTCGGACCAATGTGCGCTTCAAATGTGCAAAAACGCATTAAAAATACCTGAAAATTAACAACTGACTAGTTTGACACAAAACACCATTATCAACTACTGTAGATACAGCTATTACGTGATCGAGCTGTATTTAAAATAAGAGATGATTTATCATCCGTTACGCACTTTTTGGCAATTTTAAAACTCTCCATTTATCACCTCTTCCCCATCTATACGTCTACCGAAGGATCTCGTTAAAGGGATAAATTTTTCCTGTTTTTGAAAGCGCAGTTGTTCTTCCCATCTTTCGTTCAGGTGAGAACAACAGTCTGAAAACGCTTACTTTCTCGGCTACGTAAGTAACCAATTACAATTTTTTAATCCAAGTGATTACTTTACCTTTGATAATGAATACTCGATCCAGTTGGTCTGTTACATCTTCCGTCGCCGGAAAGAGCGCAGTGCTCATAGATGTTTCGGTAAATATGTAACCAGCACCTCTGAGAAAACCTATATTTTTCAAGACTGTCATTGGATTTTTGACTGCCAAACCTTTCAGGAAGTGTTGGAAAAATAGACGATAGCAAAACGAACCAGAGACCAAGTGATGTCGAATAATCTCTGGAGCCGAGTAGCACGTCCGGTGGTCGATACCTGAAAAATCAGAACTTTTCTTTACTGTTGCTCAACACTCGAATTTCTTTTCAGCGGTTTTATTTTGTATTTCTACACATTTATGCAGCTCAATCAGGCTTGCCGGTGCGATCATATGTTATTGCACTAAATTTGCAACAGTCAGGTCGCCAACAGTAGGAATGATTCAAAATGCATTGGGGTTTAATACGTGGGATCATGTTGGCACTGTTTTGGTCCTTTCCTACCTAGACGGCGAAGAGACCTCTATCGAGGTGATAACGTTTCATCCGAGATGCATGATTATCAATTTTGCACGAAGACTGGTCGGTTTTCCGGTGAGCGAACATTCAATGGGGAATGCAAACTTTGAAAATACAATGGGTGTTGGGTGGAGGATCACGAAAACCACACAAAGCTACTCGCTTTTGCGTTTACAACAAAAATGAGCATTTGCATGTTTGAAATCCTCAGCTAAACGCTCAGACAAAGAATAAAAGTGTGAGATTTCAGCTTTTCATCTTGTCTAGCTCTTGAAATCGTTCTTCCGCCACAAAATTTGCATCTTTTTCCGTAGGCTGTACGAAATTTTCAAAGAAAAGAAGGTTTATGGGTAAGCAATACGCGCCATCTATTCGAAAACGAAAATCAGTGAGTTTTGTTCGTGCACGATATCGTGCAGCGTCACAATACTGCATTGCCGCAGAGCATATAACAACGGTGCTGAAGTTCGCAATTAAGAAAATCAGAGAAAATAAAAAAAAATCAACAAAAAGGCATAAATCAGGCAAAAATATTTAAAATGCACTAACTAAACTCTGTTTCAACGTGAAACACCTTTGGTGAGCAAGCGGCACCAAAAAGATAAGTAATGAAATTTCCACCAAAGAAGCAATGAAATTTAATCCAGACTGATTTCAGTTTGTAA